ATTAGGCCCTAGTCCAGTGCCCTTCCACCAGGAGAGGTCAACATTCCAGACTTCAGCTGTTCATCACTTGAACCTCTGCAACCCCCTACCCTCCTACGCCACTGAAATTGTGCAATGCAAAGTCTCAAATAACTTCTCAGACCCTTTCCTCCACCAACGACTGCATTTGGTTCTCAAATGCTCTCCCTGTCAAAACTCAGTCTATTTTCTTCCCACCTTGTAGTGTTTTCTGAAATGGGAATAACTCTCAAAATTGTCTTTCCCAATGCCTATGTGATAAACATCCAAACAATATGAGGTTGGAGTTTATCAACATTATTCCATTTGCTAACACTTAGAAGCCCCTTTTCATCCTGTTTCAGGGATATGACAACTCATTCCATATTAAAATGAACACCCTGCTGTGGGATGTCTTTCTGTATGCTGTGAATATATGTTGCTCCCATTGGCTGATAAAGAAAACTGTTTGGCCAATGGCGAGGAAGCAGAATAAGGTTAGGCGGTACATTCAAACTGAAGACGGAGATGAAGAAGGATGGAGTCAGGCAGAAACTGTGAGCCACCACCAGGAGAAGCAAGATGTGAGAGAACAGGTAACGCCATGAAGCCACATGGCAAAACATAGATTAATGTTGAATTAAGTTATGAGCTAGCTAATAATGAGCCTGAGCCATAGGCCATACCGTTTGTAATCAATATTAAGCCTCTGAGTGATTATTTTATAAGCGTCTGTGAGGCCTCGGGTGGGAGAGATTCGTCTGGACACTGAGGCCGGGTGGGACAGAGAAACTCCTGGCCTCAACACCCTGCTCTTAAATGGCCTGATATTACACTATTCTACTTCTTTACTTCTTCAGCCAGTCCTCTTGGCCTTTTCTGCCCATGCCCCTCTCCCAGGCACTTCTCTAGGTATTACGCTTATCTTCCATCTCCTAATACTACAACACTTCAATTGTGTCTATAATAAAGACTCCAAACTCACATCCAAAAGGCTCTACATCTCCCATGTCCAAGGACTACCTGAATGTGGGTCTTCCTTTGAGGCAGGATCACCCATCATCCAGGCTGGACTAGAACTGGTCTTAAATTTATGGCAATCGCCGGGCGGTGGTGGCGCACGCCTTTAATCCCAGCACTCGGGAGGCAGAGCCAGGCGGATCTCTGTGAGTTCGAGGCCAGCCTGGTCTCCAAAGCGAGTTCCAGGAAAGGCGCAAAGCTACACAGAGAAACCCTGTCTCGAAAAACCAAAAAAAAAAAAAAAAAAAAAAAAAAATTTATGGCAATCTTTCTGTGTTTTACCGCCCCTTGTGCTAGGCTTACAGGCGTGTACCACTATATCTGATTTGGCTGATTTGGGGGATGGTTGGTATCACTGTTGTTTTGAGACAGGGTCTTACTGTGTAGAGCTGGCTGGCCTGGAACTTGCCTCCTGCCCCTGCCTCCCCAGTGCTGGGATTACAGGTATGAACCAACATGCTGAATTTCTTAGTAAGATTTTGCTTGTTTCTGCCAGTCTATCTACCTCTTTGTAATCCACTGAGTAATCTTTTAAAACATCTTTTTACTTGGATATGGTGACATGCTCCTATAACCCCAGCAGTAGAGAAACAAAGGCAGGAGGACTGGGAGGTCTGGGCTATGAGTGAGACCACGAATCAAATAAAAACAGTAGCATATCATGGTATGCAGTCACGTGTATGATACGACACTATGAGTATAATATTCTATATTATGTCCCCTCCTTTTTTTTGGTTTTGGTTTTTTCGAGACAGGGTTTCTCTGTGTAGTTTTGCGCCTTTCCTGGAACTCACTCTGTAGCCCAGGCTGGCCTCGAACTCACAGAGATCTGCCTGCCTCTGCCTCCCAAGTGCTGGGATTAAAGGCAAGCGCCGCCGCCACCACCACCCTGTGGTGATATTGTGTTCCCCAAAATATTGTGCACCCTAATAAACTTATCTGGGGTCAGAGAACAGAACAGAACAGCCACTAGATATAGAGGCCAGAAAATGGTGGCACACACGCCTTTCCTATCACTTGGGAGACAGAGATCCATTCAGAGCTCTGTGAGTTTAAAGTCACACTGGAAACAGTCAGGCATGGTGACTCGTGAATCCCAGGAAGTGATGGCAGCAAGCAGAAAGGTATGTAAGGCGTGAGGACCAGGAACTATGTGGTTAAGCTTTTAGGCTTTGGAGCAGCACAGTTCAACCGAGAGGCATCCATCCAGTCTGAGGAAACAGGACCAGCTGAGGAATTGGCAAGTTGAGGAAGCTGTGGCTTGTTCTGCTTCTCTGATCTTCCAGCGTTCACCCCAATACCTGGCTCCAGGTTTGATTTTATTAATAAAATTCGTGCTTAAGATTCGTGCTACACCATATGGCTTATGTCCCTATTTAAAAGGCTTCTAGAATGAAGGCCAAGTTCTAACCCCTTCCTGATTTCACCTTAATGGAACTTTTCATTCTCCTTTGCAACCAACCATGCCTCTAAAGTGGAGCCGGAAAGGCCTCTCTCAGTTTCCCAACCTACCCATTTCTGTGCCTCCTTCCACCCTTTTCCTTTGCCAGAACACTGGCTCTCAGAATCCCGTTTCCCTGGAACACAAGCCCTAGGATTCACTCGGAACTGTTTCCTAGGGAACCCTCAGTTAGCTGAAGTTATTTCTTCCTTCTACTTAGTTCCTTGCAACACTTACCTTGTTATCTGCCAACAATTTGGTTGTTTTATACATGTTCCATTTCTCCTGCTCGATTCTAAGAAAATATCAAATGGTGTGTTCAGGGGGAGAAACCTGCTTGGGAAGTTGCTGGGTTCTGATCAGAATTTACTAAAAGTGCAGGAGGCTGGGCATGGTGGCTCATGACCTGGAATCCTAGCACTCCAGAGGTTAGGTCAGGATTGACATGACTTCAAGGCCAGCATAGACTACATATTAACAGAGCCTGTCTCAAAAAAGGAAAAGGGGAGGGGAGGAAAGAGGAGGAAAAAGAAAGCTAAGATATGTCAAGAAAAACAGGGAAGAACAAAATCAGGAGTTGAGCCCACAGCTCCCAACTTCCACCCAGTGCTCTCTACTTCTGAAACACTCTGGCTTTACCAAATCTGCAAGAGCTTTCTTCCTTTCCATTTTGATGATTTTTAATCACTGTGCCGCTTACAAGTTAAATGGAGTGAAATAATGTGGGGAGGCGGTGTTCGGAGTCTGTCTGACTTTAAAAGATCTTAACCTTGGAGGGGCATCACAAGCACGGCACAGGCCTGTAATCTCAGCCCTAGAGCTGAGGAAGGAGGCTAGTTAAATTGGAGCTTAAGCTACATTGTACAGCCCAGTCTGCCCATCCGCTCCCATTCATTTCTGCTGAGTGTGGAGTTGCAAAGCTTTAGCAGGGGAGGTCTGAGTGACAGCTAGTGCTAAAATGGCCTCTGTTTGTTTTGCTTTTTCAAGACAGGGTTTCTCTGTGTAGTTCAGGCTGTCCTGAAACTTGCTCTTTAGGCCAGGCTGGACTTGAACTCAGAGATCCACCATCTTCTGCCTTTACCGCGCCCAACTAGAAAAATGGCTTTTATTTCATCCTCCTACCCCACAAGGTGAGGACCTAACCCAGGGCCTTGTGCTTGCTAGGCAAACGCTCTCCTACTGAGCTAAATCCCTCCCCCCAGGAAATGGCTTTTAAACGTGAGAGAGGGGAAAAAACCAAAACCAAACAAACAAACAATCCAAAACCAAAAACTTAAAAGCTACATAGGTCATCTTGATTTGGTAATAAAAGTTATTAAAGAATAGAAAAGTTGTGCCGGGCGGTGGTGGCACACGCCTTTAATCCCAGCACTCAGGAGGCAGAGCCAGGCGGATCTCTGTGAGTTCGAGGCCAGCCTGGTCTACAGAGCGAGTTCCAGGACAGCTAGGGCTGCACAGAGAAACCCTCTCTTGAGAAACAAAAGAATAAAAAAATCAAAATGGGGGGCTGGAAAGATGGCTCAGTGGTTAAGGACACTGACTGCTCTCCCAAAGGACCCGGGTTCAAATCCCAGCACCCACATGGTGGCTAACAACTAACTGTCTGTAAAGACCCACATGGTGGCTAACAACTGTCTGTAAAGATCTGACCTGCACGCAAAACACCAATGCACATAAAATAAAAGTAAATAAAAAAATTAAATATATATGTATATATATATGACTTCAAAAGGGAAATACAGGGTGTTAAAGAGATGGGCCTTAAAGTCGTGGAACTTCGGCAATGTCTTCACACTGGCCCCGTTTTAACAGGGATGGGACTGCATCAACCCTTTTTGAAAATGAAGACAAAGAAAAGTCACACTTAAAAAAAAAAATTCTACTGCACCATATTGCAACACGCGAACCCTGAGAAACATTCTGGCGCGATCACAGCCTCTGTAACCACACCGGACTGGTCCTTGATAGCCACGGGGAAACTCGTTTCCATAAAGGAGCTCCGCATCCCGCGGAGAGGCGGGAACCTCTCCCTCGGAATCCAGTCCCCGGGCACAGTCCACAGTGGCCACACAACCTAGTGAGCTGCAGGGAGAAAGCGCAGTGGTGGCGCTCCCGGACCTCCCCTGAACTACAGGTGTCGCCCAGCCGAGGACCCAGGGGCGGCCCCGGAGGCTGCGGTCAGCACGCACGAGCCGCGGGGCTCACAAAGCGGATCGCTCGCTCCGCCAGCGTGGAGCGCAGGCGCCGCAAGGGCGGGGGCGCGCTCGGCGATCGGGCGGGCAGCGCGCCCTCGGCCCCGCCTTACGCGTCAACCAGCCGGCTGGGGAGCGGCGGGCCGGGCCGCGCTAGGGCGGGAAGCGACCGGCCGGCCAGCACCTGCCAGGCCCAGCGGTCCCCGCCCTTCGCTCCGGGCGCTGCGCAAGGCTAGCCTTCCCCTTCCGCCCCTCCCACATTCCCCGGCCGCAGCTGGCCCCACCCCTCTCGCGCGGCGGCCCGGCCGTCTGTGACGTCGGCAGGCCCCGCCCCCTCGGTATAAATACTGGCGGCGCTGGGGCCGCCTTCCCACACTCTCTGGCTCAACTCTCGGCCGCGGTGTTTCCGTTCCTCTCCCTGGTCGTCGCCTCCTGCTCGGCTCCTCTCCTCCTTTCTCGCTCTGCTGCTCTGCGGTGTGACGAGGCTGAATCCTCTCCCCACTCGGTTCGCGCCTTCCCCGCCTCTCTCTCTCTCCTCTCTCGCGCCGCTCCATTTCTCCGGTTCGGCTGCCGCCGCCACTGCTGCTCAGCTGGTGTCGGTGCCGCGCGTTTCCCCCACGTCGTCCCCGCAGCCTATGGCCCAGGCCGCCTTGGGTATTTCTGCTCAAGGTAACCACATCCCTCTTTAAAAATTCCGCCGAAAAAGAGAAGACGCTTTACCCGACTCTTTGGGCCGTTATCTCACGTGAGTACGGGGCGTGAGGGGGCGCGGGAGGGTCGGGCGCCTGGGCTGGGCCACGCCGCCCTCGATGTCCCCGCAGTGCCCCGCAGCCGGCGGCCTCGAACATGGCGGCCGGCGGCGTGTGTGGCGGCTGCCGGTGGCCCCGGCGGCGGCGGCGGCGGCGGGCACCTCGCGACCCTGGGCGGCCGCCGGCAGCCGCGGTTGGGCGAGGGGGCGTGTGCGCGTGGGGCCGCGCTCGGGGGCAGGCAGGCAAGCAGGCAGGCTGGCGGGGGTCGCCGTCCCGCTGCCGGCGGCGTGCGGCCCCCACCCCGCTCCCGTGGTGCATTGCTGTTTCCGGGGAGGGGGCCCGGCGGCAGCCCCGAGGGGCTCGGGCCCCGCCGCCCCCTCCGGGTCTCAGTGCCCGCGGGGGGCTGTGATGCCGAGTGGCCGGGCGGCGCGGCGGGCTGCGGCGGCCGGGGCGCCGGGTTATGAATGGAGCGGGGCGGGCCTCGAGCCGGCATCTGGTGACAGCTGGGAGGAGGCTGGATTCTTGCGGGCGGAGGGGGAGTGCGGAGAGCGCGGTCCCCCTCTGGTGGAGGAAAGTTGACCTCACTCACTCCGGGGCCCGGCGGCGGGGAAGCCCGGGTGTCAAGTAGCAAGCGGGTAGGCCTTTGGCCCCTTCTGGAAACCTCGGCGCTGCTGCCCCGCCCCTGCGGCGCTCCTGATTGGGCCAAGTCGCTTTCATTTACCCCAGTCACCCTGAAGCCTGGAGATTAGTCACCATGGCTTCGTTTTCTGGTCCTCGCCGTGATCGCGGGCCAGAAAGAGGGCGAAGGGTAGGTGGATGCGGCTTATCAAGTACTGTGTTCGCTGCCAGCAGTTAGTGAGGACGAAAGTATCATACATCTTGAATGCGTCGGTCGGGGACACGGTTTACCTGCTCGCGGTGTTTGAACAGACTGAACTCAATTTTGTGATGGGTATGTTAGGTTGTTGTTCAGTGTTCTGCCGTGTTTTACCGTTATTAAATGCTCAGTCTGAGTGAGACCTGAGTAACTCTTTCCCCTTACCGAGTGATCAGGAAAGGAGCATGTGCACTATATGAACTAGCCTGGCAGAAATAGATACGAGACCAAGCTTGTGCTTGCCAATAAGGCCTGAGGCGTTCATCTTAAGTAGGAAAGAATGTTTAAATAAAATTGTAGATAATAAAGATAAATCAGATAATCAATTTGTTTCTCTCCCAGGGTTTTAATGTGATTCTTATCAAAGAAATCAGAGTGACAAGTCCATCTTAGATCCCCCGACTAACATGGTGCTATGGTTGCCTTAGCTTCCAGCCGTTTTACTAATGTGTATTACAGACCTCAGCACCGTAAGAGCTACACTTTTAGTATTTCCACATATTAAATACAGTCCCATACTCTGCTTTTTAAAGCCTCACTTTGTAGCCCAGACTGACAAATCGCTAATTTACCTCCCACCTCAGACTAGTGCTAGGATTACAGGTTTAAGACAAGTCTGGCTTCTGTTTGATAAGTTTTAACAAAGAAGTGATGCACCAGGTTGTATATCTTAATTCCAGGAAGTTTTTGAAGCCAGCCTTGGCCACATAATAGCAAAATCCTGTGTCTGGAGAGGGGAGAAACAGCTCTATAATCTAAAGCTATCAAAATGTAGAATATTGCTAACACCCACAAAGTTCCCATGATAGTTCATGTCAGTTCCTGTAGAGGCCTACCTAGTCCCCCCCCCCCCTTTTTTTTTTAAATCAAAGAACTTAAATGGAATCAATAGATAAACATTCTTTTGTGTACAGGGCTTTTACTTAGCATATTTTTGTATATTAATCAGTAGGTTGTTCCTGAGTAGTCATTGTGTGAAAATATGCCTGATTAAAAATAAAACCTTTTGCCGGGAGGTGGTGGCACCTGCCTTTAATCCCAGCACTTCGGAGGCAGAGAGCCAGGCTGATCTCTGTGAGTTCAAGACCAGCCTGGTCTACAGAGAGATCCAGGAAAGGCACTAAAACTACACAGAGAAACCCTGTCTCGAAAAAAACAAATAAATACATAAATAAAATCTTTTTTGGAAAGGTTGCAAAGATAGCAGTAACTTTGTAAAGATGATGTCAAGAGAAAAACGATTTGGAACGTCAAAAAGGACAAGGTGGTGCAGTGGTGGTGCACACCTTTGATCCCAGCAGAGGCAGGTGGATCTCTTGAGTTTGAGGCCAGCCTGGTCTACAAAGTGAGTTCCAGGACAGCCAGGGCTACACAGAGAAACCTTGTCTAAAAAAACAAAAACAAAGTGGAGCTGGATTTGTAGCTTAGTCGGTCAGGTGCTTGCCTCGAATCACAAGCCCTGGGTTGATTTCCCATCACCCTATAAACAGGTGAATAGGTGACACCTGTAATCCTAACGTCCCTTTGTAATCCCAGCACTTGGGAAAGGAGGCAGGAGGATCAGGATTTCAGTGTTCATCTTTGGCCCCACAAGAGTTCCAGGTCCAGCCTAAGTCTACATGGCCTTTCAGCCCATTCCTACCTCCCTAATTTACACAAATCATTATAAACGAGAGTGGTGTGTTTTCTTTCCTCCTCCTCTCCTCCTTTGTTTGAAGACAGTTTCTCTGTATAGCCCTGGCTTTCCTAGAACTCGGGGTTAGGGTTAGGTGGACCTCAGCCTGCCTGTACCGTTCTTTCCAGTGCTGGAATTAAAGACATGAGCCACCACTGCCTGGCTAGTAATTTGTTTTTTAACACTGTCTTTGATCTACATTTTACTTACCCTTCCTTTATGCTTTCTTTTTTCCAGATAATAAACGTTTTGTATTTATCCTGTATGTAAATGTCCATCTTATCCTGTGTACCACTTTTAGTATCTATTAAAATGTCTTTGGAATTAGGGAGCCTTTATTCCCTAGTAGTAGTTCTGTTAAATGAGAAAGTGTAGATATCACTGAAGAACATTCGTGAATGTCTATAGTTTAATGTCCTCAATGTTTCACAGCATTTATCTTGGGTTGCAACGGCCTCAAAATAGCTGTGAATAAAATAGGAAAAATGAATAATGTCTCGTTCAGGATAATTGTTCTACTCCTTAGGATAGTTAAGAATGACCTGATTCCCAGCATGATTTAGTTTTTTTAAGATTAGGTGTTTGAAGAATTAGAACATTTATAGATTAAAACCTGGGAATATATAGCTCGTTGGTCAAGTGCCTGCATCCATGATGGCCATGGGTTCAATACACAGCACTGCAACAAAAAATTTATAGGTTAGTATATTATTTGGATTCTAAAGGTCATAATCATTTTTACAAGTTGTATTGAGATAGCATCTCATGTAGCCCAGACTAGCTTTTAACTCCTTATATAGATGAAGCTGGCCCTCAACTCAACTCCTGATCTTTCCATCACGTGCTGGGGATTAGAGCTCTGGGCCACTCATTGTTATAAATCAGACATGAGTTCTTTCCCTCAGCAACCATGAGTGTTTTTAAGAGTGGTCAGTTTTACTCACTGGGCAGAACATTTTTATTTTGCTCAAAGTTGCCTAGATCCCTGTTTAAGTAAGATACATGGAGTACTTCTGAGAGTCTAAAACTCTTGACCTTATATATAGTTTCTAGTATTTCTGGCTCCCTTCTTGCTACCTCTTCCTTAGAAAATATAATCAGACTGTAGTAACCATTGAAGCACAAATGAAGTGTAGGTGTATATAGCATCTCTAAATTTTTAGAGTAATTGCCAAACTATTACTGGGTGGTGACATTTCTAAAGCTAGTATGCCAAGCTTCACATTCATTTGCTTCTGGTGATAATAAAATAGATCTAGAGGGGTTGGATATGAGGAGAAAAACTTTACAGACTTGCCTAGGGCTTATCAAATTACTTTTCTCTTTGAGACATGTCTTCCAAGCTGGTTCAGGCTCTTGTTCTTGACAGGATGACCTTGAACTCTTGGTTCCTGGTCCTTTGCCTCCACAGGTGCTGGAATCACAGGTGTATAGCAGCTTAATTAACTGATAAATCTTTTTAGTGTTGTAGTAGGAATTTGTAGCAAAGGATAATTTGAACTTAACCTAAAAGGTATTTCAGACAGTTCCAAGACTGCACTAGAACATTATGCATTTAAAGTCATTTTTGTCATTTTGTTTATTTAGGACAGGACCTTGCTATGTACCGTAGGCTGGCCTTGAACTCACAGTAATCATCCTGCTTAGCCCCCTGAGTTTTGGGATTGCAAGTATATGGTACCCTGCACAGCTGGACTGTCACTTTAATAGAACACTTATTAAATAAACTTTATTTAGTCATTTACATTAACCTGTTTGAAGCACAACCTCATTTTTAAAACAGAACTTTCTCCTTGTATTTCTTTAGGGCGAACTTTCTGACCGAGTATACAACTACCCAGAAGGCCTAGGAGAAGTGCTGTATAGAGAGCAGTTCGACTTCAACGCTGAGCCACCTTGGGAACCTAGCTGATGATAGGGGGGTTCCATCTCCTAACTTGTCCATGTAAGTAGCTTCACATCGGAGGATATCTTAATAAGATGGAAATGGTGCTTCAGTGTTTTTCAGATTTTGGAATTATGTCTACCTCTTCGGACCCTTAAAAACTTAAGTTAGAGATTAGTTACAGGTGTGACTGGTAAGGTTGTTTGTGTGCATTGTTTACCATGATAGGATCACTTATAACTTTGACTTGCATGAATAATGACAGTACTATATTTAGTATATTAGGAAATTGCACTGGGGTCTGAAGTGGTTAAGAGCACTTGCTGCTCTTGCGGAGGACCCCAGTTAGGTTCTCAGGACCCATGTTAGGTTGTTCACAACTGCCTGTAACTAGCTTCAGAGGCTCTGTCGTTTGTCCCATTTTCCTCCTAACACCTGCATACCATGCGCATGCTCATACACAGAGATGCACATATGCCTAGATACACACTCACATAAGTAAAAATTAAAAACAATTTAATTGTACTAGCCTGGGTTTTAATATCATTTGGAGAGTGGATTTTGAATTTAGGATATAGTTTACCATATTCAATCATTTACTTAGTAGGTATGAGTATTGGCTGAATCAGAAGAGTCAAAACTTAATTGAATCCAGGGCTCAGATACAGATACTCAGGCTTGGGAGCAAGTGCTGTTACCTGGGAGCCATCTTGTCAGGCCCCTTGGTAAAGCAAAAAATCTGCTGCCATTGCCCTTGGTAAAGCTGTATCTTAGAGTGTGAGTATGAAAGCAATTTCAGTTCACGGTTTCCTAATAACAATCATTCTGCCAGTCAAGGGTTTTTTGTTTGTATGTTTGTTTTTTTTGTTTTTCTTTATTAAGATGGTTTCATATACTAAGTTTTTAGAAAACTGATGGTTTTGGGGAGCTTTTTGGAAAGATGATACCTAAGACTTGCAGTATACCTCATTCCAAACAGCCAAGGACATTTTTTTGGCTACTTGATATTCTACGCGTGGATTATTTTAAGACTTGGGCCAGTGTACAAAATGTAATTCCTCAGTAAACTGGTTTAAATTTGAGAGGTCCATTTACCTACCTACCTACCTACCTACCTACCTAGAACTCACTATATGGACCAGGCTGGATTTGTACTCACAGATATTCACCAACCTCTGCTTCCTAACTGCTATGATTGAGGGCATACCAACATGCCCAGCTGGTCTGCACCTGTAATCCAGTGCTGGGACAGTGGAGTTAAGAATCCTGGGGTTCACTGACCAGCCAGGTTAGCCTAATTGCTAAGCTCCAGGTTCAGTGAGAGGTCGATCCTATTTGAAAATGTGGACAATCCTGAGGAACGACACTTGACATTTACCTCTGGCCTCTGTGTGTACACAGTGACCGACCTACACATACAAATAATAAATACATTGCAAACATTAAGAATTCCTTTTCTAGATGTCATGGAATTGAAATGTGGGTTTTGAAACTTAAGTGGGTTCCACATGGGCAGAACCAGTGTAGGAAAATCTGAGGAGGGCAGTTTTCAAGCTACTGCCCAGCGTTGTTACTCCTTGCAGTGTAGTCAATAAAGTATCCCTTTGAAAAAAGAGAATTTTGGGAAAACTGAAATGTCAAAGTAGTGTTTCTTTATTTTGGTTATAACATAGATTTTATTGAATAAAAATGGTTGTTCTAGAGCCAGGCATAGCTCTAGAACACAACTATAGTCTGAACATTTGGGAGGTAGAAAATGGATCAGGAACTCTTGTGGCTTGTCTGGGCTACATAAGACTGTGTCTCGTTCATAAATAATTTTAGGCTCACTTGCCTCCACCTCCCAACTACTGGGATTACAGGCCTGTGCCACCAAACCTTGCTTAGACTAGTTCTTTTGGTCCTAAGTAGGCACATTAATTTCTCTTTTATTTGTGTATTCCTTATCTTGGTATGGGTGATTGTAATTGTGAGAATTCAACAACCTGAATCAACAGTCTGTATTGTTTAACTAGGTGGTTTATTTGCCACTTAATAGCATGCTTGCTACCAAATTATTTCCAAGCCACATATCTAATTTCTATTAATTTTAATCTGTTCTGTTTTTTGTTTGTTTGGTTTTTTTTTTTTTTTTTTTTTTTTTTGGTTTTTTGAGACAGGGTTTCTCTGTGTAGCTTTGCGCCTTTCCTGGAACTCACTTGGTAGCCCAGGCTGCTGTTCTGTTTTTGATTTATCAAAATGTTCTCCCAAGTTGGCTTTTTTGAGACAAGGTTTCTCTGTAACAGCCCTGGCTATCCTGTAGACCAGGCTGGCCTTGAACTCACAGAAATCCACTTACCTCTGCCTCCCAAGTGTTCAGGTTAAAGGTGTGTGCCACCACACCTGGATAAATTGCTTATTTTTAAGCATTTTTTGGCACCAAGAGACTGGGGCAGAATGTTTGGAAGTTCAAGGCCTTTGTAGGACATACAGCAAGAGCTTATCTCAACAATAGTAAATATATGTCTTTTGAAGTGGGTCTGGTTGGCATTATAATCATTAACAGATGGACTTTTAAAATTCATTTTGATCAGTGGACAACTGACCTCATTTTTCTCTTTCCACCATGTGAATCCCAGGTATTGAACTCAATCAGGTTTCCAGGCTTACATGGCAAGTACCGTTTCCTGAGGAATCAGTGCCAGCCTGTTAAGTTTTTTAACATTTTAGAGTAGGATGAATAGCCGGGTGGTAGTGGCCCCCACGCCTTTAATCCCAGCACTCGGGAGGCAGAGGCAGGCAGATCTCTGAGTTCAAGGCCAGCCTGGGCTACCAAGTGAGTTCCAGGAAAGGCGCAAAGCTACACAGAGAAACCCTTTTCAAAAAACCAAAAAAAAAAGGGGGTGAATAGAAATGCAGGTGCTTTGGGAAAGAGGAGAGACATGCCCAGGTATGGGTATGTACTTCTCAGAGAAGAGTAGCTGTAAGGTAGAAATGTAAAAAAAAAAAAAAAAAAACAAACAAACCTGTTTCTTTTTTGAGGACAGGGTCTCTGGGTTTCTTTGTAGCTCTAGCTGCCCAGAGACTGTGTAGACCAGGCTGGCCTAAGAGTCACAGAGTCTGCCTCGGCCTCCCAAATATTGAGATTAAAGATGTATACTACTACCATGCCTGACAATTTATCTTTAAAGGAAGAGAACATAGTAAAAGATAAACCTAACTCAAATTTCTTGATTCAGTAATTAAGTATTGGGCTTTGTTTATGTATTATGTGCAGATGATATTTGTTTATTGAGCTGTGTGTGTGTGTGTGTGTGTGTGTGTGTGTGCGTGTGCGTGTGCGCGTGCGCGTGCGCGCTCCTGGACATGTGCCACAGACAGGAGACAGCCTATAGGAGTTGATTTCTTACCTTCTACCCTGCAGGTCCTGGGAAGTGAACTTAGATGTCAGGCTTACTGCAAGTGGCCAGCCCTAACTAATTTGGGAGAAAAGTTTGAATTTGTGCTGACTTGAAGCTATTTTTATTGTGTCTATTTAGTGTTAATGCTCTTGAATTTTACTGTAGAAATACTATGTTTACAGAGAGCTGACTCAATCTCTTGTAGGGTGTTACATAATATCTAAATATACTATGTGACTGCTCTGAAATTTGACAAGTTAGTAGATTCAGAAAGATACATTGTTTCACTAGAATAATAAATATAGTACCTCAAAAATACAGTATCTTTGTGTGTGATGGTTCACTGGGATCCTAGGAGTCATCTTCTGGGAAGCAACATACTATTGGGAGAACTTCAAATATTGGCCTTCATGGAACTATTTCATAACATTGCAAACTATGGGACTATATGAACTGTATTTAAGCTGTGTTCAGTACTCCATTAGGATTTTTGTGCAGGTATAATAGGCTCTAGGATTGGGCATCGGGATGAGTTTTCTTTTCTCCCTGGCCTTTTTTGTGTGAGGGGGAAGGTATCACTATTGTAGCCAAGGCTTGCCTAGAAATCGCTGAATCCTGCTTCAGACTCCAAGTTTTGGAATTACAGACATAGATCAATCACCACACCTGGCTTCAGGATAAGATTTTGAGTCAACCATTAATTTTAAACTAGTTCATTCCATTAAGTATCTGAAAGCTAGAAATTCTCACACAATATGTTAGTCTCTCCTAGCCCACAGAAAAGAAAAAAAAATTTTTTTAGGGTGGTTAAGGCTGATTTTGAATCCAGATTCTAGCCTAAGTGCTAGAATTACAGGCATACACTTAATCTAACAGAACTCCAGTTTCAGGGGGAATTGATTGGTTCTCAAATTTATTACCGAGGAGAATAGTTGGGATGGAAGAATTAATGTATGTACTGCACCATACTTTTTTACTGAGCTGATCTTGTTTTAGGGGTTTGGGTTTGGGGTTTCCCCCTGCTTACCTCTACCAAAAAAATAATATTTTGAGAGATTAATAACTGATAATGAAAAATGAGGCATTATGTTAGGAGAAAGGTTTGAAAATGTAAATACTAGGTAAATTGGTTGGCTGTTTTAGGATGACCATCTTTTAGTTAACCTTAATAGGAATAATATTCCAGGATCATCTATGCTAATGTTAAGCAATTTGTTAACATGCTCATTGAAGCAGATTTCTTTGTTTGCTTTGTTTTTTGAGACAGTTTTTCTAATGTAATCCTGACTAGCCCGGAACTTGCTATATAGACCAAACTGACCCCAAACTCTTAAGAGATCCACCTGCAGGCATGCGCCACCATATCCAGCCAGAAGCAGAATTTTATCTATGCTTTTCTCTGATAATATTGTTACTTTGTGGCATGAGTAATTTTAAGTATATTCAGGACATGCTGTGGAGTTGTATTTATTACTTTCCAGTTTTTGAAACAGGGTCTCATTCTGTATTGCCTGCTGTCCTAGAACTGCTCTGGGATAATTGCTATAAATGGAGTAGCATTAATTAGAGACTTAAAAATGGCTGTTAACATGATATCACACTCAGACTCACTGCAGCTATGGTTACCCACATAAGACCTGAATAAGATCAGTCAATATGCCAACAGGAAGCACTAATTGG